GAGCAATTTACCAATTTTTTTTTTTTTTTTTGCCTCTTAAAGTTTTCTCTATTTTAATAGCTTGTTCTGTGGTATAGTGTAATAAAAGTAATCATTAGATTTCAAAACACTAGTAGTGATTTTTCAGGCTAAGTTGAAAATACAGGCTGATCCACTTCAAGCTGAGGTCAGCTCAAGATCCCATTTAACATGAAGCAAATATTCTGACCCTCCTGTCCTTACCATCTTTCTGGCCCATAGCCAAAACATGATTATGCATCACATTTGACCTAAATTTACTAATTGTTTTGGTCTTCTGAGATCCTCCCCCAAAAGTCCTATGCTTCATATGTTGCTAGGGTTTTCCCATCTCACTATTCTCAAGGCATAAAACCACTCATCAAGAGTGGTTTAAAGGATTTCGTTCAACATCTTTGTTTTATTCTGTTTTTTTAAAGATTCTGTTGCTTATTGGTATTGCACAAGAGGTAGGATAGTGATGTTGGAAGTACTTATAGCAGTCTTTGGTTTTCATAAACATATGCATCATAATGTGAGGAAAATAACAACACTTCAAACACATTTGCTTATTGATTTTTACATCTGTGTAAGGCCGAATCTAATTCCACTTCTATGGCATTATACCAGGAAAGCATATTTTCGTCTAGCATAGCTCCGAACCCTTGTAAACTTTCTAAACATGGAATGCTTTCAGTAGAAGACTTGACGTTACCCACACATGAAGATTTCCCAATTCTATTAATGCATGTAGCAGTAAGAGTATTTCTCTTTGTACCAAGGAAAAAATTTATTGGTAATGCCTATTTAGCATCTTTGACCAGAGGGTTTTTCACAAACATTTCAGAATAATAGCTGTGTAATTTGACTATGGAATTTTTTTAATCTCTAAAGACAAGCTAGCTGGTTACTTTTCACTGGAATCTGGAATAAACTACTAATCTTAGCTTTAATTGTCATCTTATGGAACAATTGTTTTCACCTGCAGAGACTGAAGACAGAATGGCTATAAGAGTCAGAGGTCTTTAGAGCCAGTAGTGGTCTAGTGTACGTCTATAGGTGCTGTAGTCATTAGCTGGGGAGTCAGTTGCTAAACCCCTTGCAGGATGCGGTTGCTGTGATAGTGCCATGTCCCTGTATCTTCCTGTACTTTTCACCAGACTTCCTGTTTGCAATCTTTACGACTCAGCAATTTTTGTCCTGGTGCATCCTGCTTTCTAGCATAACTGTGGATTTGGTGAGCACAAGCTGATTTAACAGGAGTTGTTTCAAAGTCAGAAGAATGGCCTCATGTATTGATATGAGGAAGGGTAGAAAACCCAGCACTTGGTTCAGTGAAAATGAGACCTGATCTAATATTAGTCAATATTTAGGACAGTAAGTGTTCAATCACAAACTTCTGAAATTCTGTGAAAGTGGTTTGTTTGTTTTTTATTGTTGGGGTGTGTCAGTGGGGATCTATAGTTCTGATCATTGTCAAGCTTCGAGAAGGACTTCCCAGATGCTTTCCTCCTCTGTCCCATGCCTCTTTGCTATTAGGATGAGAAAGTGGTCAAAACAGTCTTTGTACCGTACTAGGTCACCCAAGAAAAAGCACTAAATGGAAATGAGCCCTTCTGTGAAAACATGTTTTCCATAGCCAGGTACTTCTAGGTTGATATATACTCATCTTCACGTGATTTTGAATATTTTCAGTAATACAGTTCAGTCCCATTTGTAATGTCATGAATTGAAATCTCTAATATTTTCTATTTAACTATGCCTAGCAATTGACCATCTTTTTTTTTTTTTTTTTTTAGGTATTGGCACATTAATAGCAAACAATGTTTATGATGCAGCATACCCACTTCATGATGTACGTATACACCGTTAAAAACCTAGTTCTCTGATGGTATCACTCAGTACTGCATAGACATTAATGTTTATTGCCTGTGACAAGGAAAATATATTGTAAGCATGTGATTCTAATGTGAAAACTCTTCCGTAAGTACATTGCAAGTTGTGTCTGTAAAGTAAAATCAACAATGTAGGAATAGCTGAGCAATCTTTTATTGAATTTTATCTCTTTTTACATCAGTTACTGAATTATTTTCTTTCTCTAGGGTGAATATGAAGGCCAAAATGATGACATGAATGAAAGAAAGGTAAAATACATTGTAAAATTTTCATATTAGATTTAATGTCCTAAATGCTATTGTAAAGTATTAGCCGGTGTGCAATCAAGTAAATGTTTTTACAAATGAATATATTTTTTGCATGACTTATTTTCCTGTATTTCTGCATATAAAAAGTTTTTCGCAAGACTTTTTATAGTCTTCTCATGAAGCATTTCAGTGAATTTAATTTGATATTTACATCTTGAAATGCTTCGAGTTTCCCTCCGCATGCGTAGACAAGATTGTTCAACCTGTCAGGCAGTGAAAGTTGTTAAATAACTTACATGATTGTTTTCTTTCCGTAACCAGATGTTGCTACAGAACAGCAGTTACTAGAATAAAATGTAGTTGTATTTTTCATTAGATTATGCATTTAATTAAATTACATGCAATTTCTAAAAATCTGTTTCCAATTATTTTGTAAATAAAAAATTTCTAGCTACAAAAGACTTTTGAAAATATATCACTCACCAACTCTCTGCACAAGAGAAATGGATGCATAATCAAAGACTATGTGAATTCAGACTGTTTTTAATACATAAGCTTACGAGCAAATGAGCAAAAACATTTAATTACTCTAATCCATTAAGATCCATTCCATATTGTTCTCTAAACTTTGCTCTTTTTTTCTCCTTAATATACAAATAATAGGATAGGAAATGAAGAGGGAAAATTGTGGGGAGAAAAAGGAGGGGAGGGAAGAATGAAGAAAAAGAGAATGAGTGGATGCCTAAAATATTTACTATACTAGAAATTAAATTGCAAATATTCTTGGTGACTTGCAAATTATTTCATAAATGTTTTTAACTCTGTGGTATTATATGTTGGTATGTACCATCTGTTGCTTGAAGGAGGGATAAGAAACTACCATTAATTTGGCAAAACACGGTGTAGTTCTCAAGAGTGTGATTGCCCCAAATGATGATTATTTGAGCATTTGAAATGAAGACTGATTTCATAAGTCATACAAATGAATTTGATTTCTCCAATGTTGGGTTAATAAAAATTTGAAAACATAATCTTCTTTGTAGTTTTTAGTAAATAATGTTAACCTGTAACCACTAGATGTCTTCATGTGCCGTGTACAATTTAATTTACTATACGAACCTTGGTAAGCAAAAGCGACACAGTTGGCAAACAAACTATAAAGAAGCTTGTATGTTCATGTCTGTTTTATTGAACTTTTTGATCATGAAGAAATTGTCTACTCTGCCTTTGCAGAATTTTCTCTGAGTAAGTGATAATCGTGATACAGTAATGGACTCTGAAAGTCAGCTACGTGGTTTACTGACTTACAATGTTGCAAAATTTTTAGAGAAGAAAGGTAAATGAACATTAATCAATGGAGGAAGATTGAGTACTATGGAATAGGGGGGGAAAAGGCCCTAAAAGGACTAGTATCTGGAAAAATATTCACCCTACTAGTTGTATTTTCTGCTGCCTTCTTTTTATTCTGCCTATTAGGCTCGGTTATGAAGTGTTAAGTATTAAAAACATAAAAGCTTCTTTCCAGAAATACTTCATTGATTATTCACATATGTCTCTGCTGCCTAGCCATTGAATCTGCTGTAGTATTTCTATGCATAACATCATCTGTTTTCTATCTGAATCTAATAGTCTCAGTGTTTAATTTCCTGAAAAGCCCCGATCAGGTTTAAAGGAAAGGGGGGCATTTCTGAGCTTTTTTTTTTCTCTACCCCTTTTTATTTTATCCATCTTAACTTATCTGTATCTCCCATTTCAATTGTCTGTTGTATAAGCCCCAAAACCGATGAACTGATTCCGTCTGGGGTACTTAGGCCAATAAGGCAGCACAAGTAATTAAGGTTTATGTACCAGTTCATAATATAAAAGGTTAATCCTTATTATCCCTATTCAGGATTTCCTTGGAGAAAAGGCACAGGGAAGCAGTACTTTTGTCACATCCTATGTGTGTTAGAAATTGGCAGTCAATGAAACCCACTCTTTTCCTAAGACTGTTGTTTGGAGTAAAGGAATTTCCATGTTTTAGTGTGATTTCTGCTCTAGAAAAAAATCTTTTTGAGAAAGCTATTGCACAGCAGCATGGTAATAACTTGCCATGAGTATAAACACTGACTTGGTCTTCTTTAAGCTTCTAGCCCACTGGCAACTTGTAACCCTTCATTGCTAGCAAGATATTTGACACTGAGAAATACATGAGGGCTTTGTTACCTATCTGGGAAACACACTGTTGTCATATACTACAACGACATCCCTAGAATATCAGAAGCAGATTGGAAATTGTTATTATAAACTTACAGAAAGTACCGCTCTTAAATGAAGCTGATAAAATACAATAAGCTCTATTACAAAGCTTTCCCTAGAATTCCTTTCAAGTGAATGAATATCATGAAAGGAAGCACATTCCAGCTTCCAGATTAAGTTTAATCTTGTAAAATTGCAGTGTTGAGACTGAGGTTTAGTGTGGGCAAGACACGTGAATGGAAAATATTCATACTAGAAACTCACCTTCAGTGCTATGGCTTTTGGAATCAGAATAATCAGCATCATTCTGTCGTCTGACGTAACGCCATGGCAACCTGTTCCTGAGCTGACCGCAACTTTAGGAAGACCTTTCTTTTTGCTCTTCAAATTCCATTCTGTAGCTATGTTCAAAACAGCATTTAAGTAGTTTTAAGAATTTAATAGATTTAACTTTCCTGTTTCATATATTTCAGTGAATGCATTTATTATTATGATTATTTATGGAAATAAATAAAATTGTGGGTAATGGCAAGGGCTGATTTTGAATAGGTAGCCACAAGTATTCATATGAAAATATCAATGTGGCAGTCAGGGCAGTCCTGTTAACTCCTGTTGAAGCCAAAGAGAATCAAACCTAGTCTCATCATTTCTTTCCACACGTGCAAAGCATTTTGCAAGTCTGTGCTCTGTAAGAGCAATATTCTAAAAGCCAAGACTCCACACTTCTTCAATCTCATTGCCGAATTCCCAATTGCTTCAGCAGTGTAGGGTTTACTTCCTGATCTATGAACAAAAAATACCTTATGCTGTCTCTCTAATGAGTATGCAATGGCATAGCTCTGTTCACGTTAGTAGGTGCAAGCCAGTTTCCATATTCTGAACAATAATACTCCGTCGGGTGCATGTTTGGAAGATCCAGGTCTTAATTGCTCACTTGATATTTATTTAGTTCTTTCACATAGCATCTGCAGGAGGAGAGACATTATAAACATTAGAAAAATGTGATGTGAAAAACCTCAAAATACGTCAAGATAACTCTGCAGTTACAGTATCTGAAATTTCTCCACACTTATTTTAATTGTGCTGTTAACTTCATAAGATGGTGTAGTGTGCTGCTAGCTGTCAAAATGCACTATCTGACAGCTGCAGCTACTGATAATTGCAAAAACAATACGTACTTTGTTACTAACATCCTCTCCGGCTCATGCATACTTACATAACCTCAGTGCAATAATCTATTATTTACTGGAAAAAAAGTGCCATGCTTAATGAGCATCTATTTTACAAATAGAAGAGTTTGCAGTCTAGTCTGCAACTAAACTGCTGAGTTCCACATATTGAAAAAATCTATATCTTACTCTTTTAAAATTACTGATTTTGACTATCTTTGGAGTTCCATTTTTTTCTGTTAAAGAAAAAAAAAGTAAATATTTCATTTAACTTCTCAGTAGAATATCCCGTGTACGTACCTGGTTGTGTATTCATGTGCACGTGTTTCTTGGTTTGTGTCTTCCTCCCTAGCAGCTTTAAAACTTATTGCGCAAACACAACCAAAGTTTACGGAATAGAAGCCTCCAAGGTATTAACTCAGCAATTACATTGCTTCACATTAACTACAATTTCCATGAGACAGGCAAAGAACAGTCAGTTAGTGCGTACAGCAAGGGAGGGCCTGAGGTATGAGGTCATCTCTTGGCGCCAGCAGATATTCCACACAGAAGCTCGCTCTCAAAACACAGTTTCATCGCTACTCCAATTTGACTAGGAATGATGTGGTGCCTTATTTAAAAGGAGCTGACCTCACCTCGTGTACTACTTTTTCTCTGGACTTCCTCCACTTCTTCTTTGAAAAAAAGAGACAAAAGGCTTGACACCTGTCTTTTTGGATGATACAGATTTATAATCTATAAATAGTGCTGTGGTTAATTTAGTTTCATTTATCATCATATTCTGGTTATTTGTTTATTATTTTTTGATGCACTCTCTACTTCAAGAACTAGTTTTCAATGACCGTGTTGTCTTAGACTGTCTACAGTCCTTTCATAGCATAAACCTGTGAAAGAAGTATGAACAGCTTGGGTGGTTCCACAGAAAATCTTACTCTTTTGCATGGGACTGCCCTGATTTTTATCTCTCTCTGAAGAGAAAATATGGTGAAGAGTCATCTAATAAAAGATCATGCTGACATTTCCTCTGAGTTTCCTTTGCTCTTCACATAATTCTGCAAAGTTTCATTTTTTGAATGTCCTTTCTGGATTATTAATAAATTCATACACAGTTATAAAATGTACTGCTATCAAATTAACTCTTTTATCAAATTGTTAGTTGCATGGTAATTTCTATCCAACAGCTAGCCTTTGTTTCAGAACGGTGTGATGTCTTTCACACCGTAATTACATGTTTCCTTTACAGCCTCTTGTAAAAGCATGTCGCAGGTTTCTTTTCTCTTTTTAAAAGCTCAACAGAGTTGTGTCACATAGATCATAGCAATGAAGGAGGGAATGAGGAAGACTATCCCTTGCCTATTGCAGTTGAGTGTATTGAGGTTAATATACCACAGGTCCTTAAATGTTTCCTTTTATCCCTGACTCTGTTCCCGCTGGATTCCTCCCACTGTAAGAAGTTTCTGTAGGATCTGTGCCTCCATTTGAGCTGTCTGTAAGCCGTGGGTGAATTTGCATCTCCAGAAGTAAACGTGTGAACTTGGGTGTCCATGTGCAGCATGGGGACAGAAGGGGCTTTTATATGGGCTCTACTGGGTATAGTAGCCTCAGGAGCTGAGCAGGAGAGCAGACTGATTTTGACATATTTATAACCTCTTGGTATGTTTTTAAATACGTGTTTACCAGTTTTGAACTCCTACCTCAGTTTACTTCACCTTGAACCTGGAAACACTGGTCAGTACTATCTATATATGGTGTGATTCCAGATATTAAATAAATTACATCATAGAAGAATTTCACTTTGTAAGTAGGATTATTTCTAGCATCTTACCAAAGATTTCCACAAGACTGCAGCAGCTTTTATTTTTCCTTTTGAGCCTTTCTATTTAACATCGCTCTCTAATAAATGTGGTGGGGAGGGAGTAGGTATGTGGAGAAGTGCGTACACCATCCTCACATTGCTGGTTTAGTTGGAGTCTTCCCTAACTGTCTGAAAAATGTGCTTGGAAGTTTGTATTGAAGGATGGGAAACTGCTTTTTTGGTACATATATTTTGAACTCTTAGAAGATATTTGTAAAACCAGATGAGATCGCTTGTTTCAAGTTAATTTTCTGTTTTTTTGTTGTTTGTTTGGTTCGTTTTTTAAATTTAGTTGCTGTATCGAGAATGGGCAAGATATGGAGTATTTTACAAGTTTCAGCCTATTGACCTCATAAGGTAAGACAGACTTGTATAAAACACTAAGGGACCTGGTTCTTAGCTGATATAGATTAATTAAGTTTCTTCCAGTTACTTCAGCAAATGAAATTTTGGATTGATCAGAACATTAAAAATAATACTCTCACTGCTTTTCTGTAGCTGTGATGATAGTTTACTGTGACAGAAATACACTAAACAATAATGTACCTTTGTTTTTGTATAGTGCTTAGTCCTGCAAGAAGGTCATACTTCAGACTTCTTTTAAAAATAGTATTAATTCTTTCAAAAACCAGAAATTCCCATTCACACTGATGGATTTTTATTGGAAAGTATGGTCACAAAATCTGGTGAATAATCAGAAGCTGGTGTTCACATCATGAATCAGTGTGAAAGTATTTGAAAGTTTTGAAATTTATTTGATTTTTTTACTCCTGGTTTTACAAGTTTTATTCCTCTGAACACATCCATATGTGTTCCCAGTGTTTTTTGTGTTTTTTGGATTTTGACGTTACAAACATAGAAGTTGGGCTTAAAATAAGACGGCACAAAACCACCATGCTTTTTAAGGAATTTCCACAATATCTCTAGAAGAAAGCTAAACCAAAACAAAACAAATTTTCCTGGATACTAAAAATACCGAGTAAAGAAAAGGAAATGTTTATGAAAATTGCTGACTTGAAATATTCTTACATAAGATATCTGTCTAGGAATAAATGAACTGTGATATTAACAAACAAACAATAGAAAAAAAAATCTGTTTCTGGATAATGTGTATTCATAAGAAAGATGACATTTGTTAGCATTTATCTTTTGAATAATTATTTCATTTATTAATGAATAATTTCATTTACCTTTTGAATAATCAAACTCCAGGTTTTATTATATGATCTGCCTCTACTTGGTTATCTGCAAAAGCTGGTATTAGTAATATGGATCATCAATAACCTTTGTAAAATGTATTTATTGTATTTTGAGTTAAAGTTGAAATACTGAATACAGGTTTTCAAAGACTTAACCACTAACTTGTAACATGAGCAGAATCGCTCTTTATTGGGAGCGAGATGTTTCAAATTGCCAATTAAGTGCCAATCAAATTGACCATCAAATCTTATTGAGGTTCTGCGAGGCTTTGAAATTTCCTTTTTTTTGCCTTAATGTTTTTTGTGCAAGATTTATGTGCTTTTTGAATACCAGTTATTCCAGGCCAGGCTACTGTAGGAATAGGTAAACTCAGAACAGGATTACACCACCTGGTATGTTGTTAGTAAATACTACAAATGTTAAGTTAAACTGTGATTTGCTAGAGGAATTCTCAAGTTTTACCAGACCTGACAGCTCAGCTGAATTAAAAATAGAGGGACATCTGCTTACACTCGATCTTCATTAGTATTTTGCTGTCTCCATTATAATGTTTCACTATACTGATATGATTTCATAGAAATTCTGTGGTTTAAACTTCTGTGAGAAAGAAAAAAAAGACCAGACATGTGCAATTGATTCTCTGTTCTCAGAGATGATTTTTCTTGCTTTTATCTTCCATACTTTGCTTGACTGCAAGTTTGACTGTTACCACTAAAATAAATATGGTTTTTATTTTCTGGTTAATGTTAGAGCTTTAGAGTATATATACCTGAAGAATTACTACTCTTTTCTTTCTGCAACTGAAATAGGGTTTTGCACTTCTGTACCGTGGGGGGGATTTGAGCTCAGTCTCTATGTGGATGCTTATTCCCTTGGCAAACATCAGCCACACTTTGTAGGTTTTGATAATTTACTGTGATCCTTCTTTCTTAGATTGATTAAATTATATTCAGCTCTTTTCTGGTTATGGGAGCACGGTGTAACTTAACAAGTTTATATTCAGGCTTTGATGGGCAGAAGAAGCAGCCTTATACTCAAAGCCTGTTCTGACTGGTGTTTTCAAATAAGGTAACTCTGTTGAACTGTGTTGCTAAATAATATTCACATCTCCAAATTAATTAAATTTTTTAGTCTAATTTTTAGTACAACTTGCAACAGTCTAAATCTTTTTAACTCTTCCTGTTTCACCTTTTTTCAGTAGGAATGCCAATTGAAAGTCATTCTTTAACTCAAGTGCCTATGCTGGAAGACTAGGTATGGCACTGTAGAATTATTATAAACCATTCCCAGCGCCTCAGTACCTTGCTTCTTGCTGTACAGTTGTTGCCAGTTTTCAAGTGATTGTACACCAAGGCTAGGAACCACGTATTTGTTATACTCACTCACAGATTGGGGATTCTCTGAGGTGTCTTCTAAGGTCTGATATCCCAAGGGAATGCTAACTGCAGTCAGTCTTAGAATATTTTCAAGTTCTTAATAACATAAGCCAAAATAAAGGCCCATTACGATATTCGCTACAGTTCCATTCACCTCTGTGTCTTCATCTGTAAAAGTATTCTGCTTTGGCATTGTGAACCTCTTTGGCCTATAAGGAAAAGGTAATTTTTTTGTAAATTAGGAAATGCAGTTGTGAGTGAGGAGGGCTTCAGCAAATGAGAGCACTGTGGGTGTTACATATTTCTATTCCATAGCAACACACTTTCAGTTAAAAACTTTAAGGGAATATACAGTGCAGATCAAGCAGATAGTACAGTGTGAATAAAGGGTTGATTTGTAAAATGTTTATAACACCCCGCCTCTCGGTGCACATCCAGATATTAAATAACATTGCTTAAAACAAACCCTGGTGAATGCAGTACTGTATTTTCAAAAGCATATGAATGTCTAAATATAGCCATATGAATTAGATTTTTGCCTTTCATATATGTCTACTTTCAACTCAAATGAAGAGAATGATAAACATTTTTTGAGAGGGAAGTTACTTATTTGCTAACAAATATCTTAGGCTAGAAGTACTGAAAAAGATTTACCTTCTCTTGCAGTCACCCTTGGACTTGGGAGGCATGAGTGATGTATTAACAAGTAGGATGTGCAGGGGTTTAGAGATTTGTCTGTTATAATATACTTTTTTTCTCATCCTAATTTAAGTATTGATTTCTACTAGAGGGGAGTTTCTGTAGCGTAGCTTTCTTGTAGGCATGCATTTAGCAGCAGAAGTTCCTCTCAATCCTTGTGATGTAATATAAAAGGTGCTATAAAAACATCTATGGTTCAGTGATTTTTTTCTATTTTGATGATATTCTTTTCTCAAATGAAGATGAGTTTGAACCTAGTTTTTAGCAATTTTTGCAGTTAATGCGTTTGTTAGCTTCCTAAGGGGTAATACTGCTGTTGATTCAGAGACAGCGAGGACGTTCCCTAGGAGTTTTATGAATCTGCATAAAGAAAAGGAGGTTTATGATTTGTTTTTTAATAAATGTTATCATATGTTAATCAAAGTTTTAACAATGTGATTTTAGAATTAATACATTGTCCTTAGACCTACCCTCTGCTCAAAGCAAGGCCGGCTTGAAAGCCAGATCGAATTGTTCATGAGTTTTGAAATCTCTAAGGATAGAGATCACACAGCTTCCCTGGGCATCCTTTCCAGCATTGCATCACTCTCAGGGGGAAGAATTTTTTCTTCCTTTGAGACCAAATTTTCCTTGGTACAACTTGCAGCCATTGTCTCTTATCTTTTAGCAGTGCACCTCTAATGAGTTACAGCAAGTCAAGAAAATATCCAGCAAGTATATGAAGCACAATAGAATTTATAGTAAATTATATTTCTGGTTGAATGCAACCTTTAATGCTTAGGGGCTCTAAATGACAGATGAAGTGAATATGCTAAGGTTACTGATATCACAGAGGGATAGTTATCCTTCTGAGACAAAAGCTTACTTAACTGCCAGAAAACTGACAAATTATCTTCTTAATGGACATCTTGAAGCACCTGCAGATGGGAACTTATGTATGAACTAAAAGTCCAGACATGAGACCATCATCATGGAGGGGAGGTCCCCTTTTGTTATCTTGTTATTAATATAAGATTACCTCACTGTAGGGAACTCAAGCAGAGCTAGCTCTGTTTTAATTGTGGTGGAGCTTATTTTAATATTAGAGCTTCGAAGAGGTCCCAGCTCTTCAGGTCCTTCTAACCCATCTCATTTTTCATGTTTTCATTTCTATTTCCTATTGCTAGGACTTCACCTAACTTCTTAATAACAGGCTACATTATCTATAGCATGATTACTTTGAAAGCTCCAAGTCTCTGTATATGCTTATCTTGCTGTAAAGGCTAAAACTGGGAAGACATGGTCATTGTAAACATTAAGACTATGTATACAATAACTCTTTTTGCAGGAGTAGGTGGAAAAGAGTGTTAACCAAAATATTATTTATAGTGTATAGCGTGTAAATCAAAACTTGGGAGTTTCGGTTACTCAAACTGTCTGCCTAATATATTTCCTCCTTCCTATTTTTAACTGTGTTTTCCGTTGGTATGGAAAATTGTTTCAACAATCCTGGCCCTTCATTGCAATGTGCCCATGTTGAACCTGCTCTTGACCGAACACTCACCAGTTCCCCTCTGTTCCTGCATTTAAATGCTGTCTTCCTAAAGCACAGCAGCCTGTCATTGTCTCTTCCTGGGAGTTTTTAAAGCAACGACAGACCTACGATGTTCCAAAATTGAATTGTCTCAACTTTGGATACTATTGCCTTCACTTTTGGTGTCTTGGGGCCTGTGTAGTGCAGTGTTCAATGTAAGCAATCAGACCCCAAAAGTGTTATTGCTGGTTTACCTTTTTACTTTTTTATTCTTTCATCAATCTTCACCACGAAAACCAAAACCAGGTATATCTGCTTACCTTACTTAGCATAGGGTAGTTTTAAAGGAGAAATAAAATAACAAAAGGGGAGTTCTGCTGAAATGGTGTTTTTATTGTCTTTAGAGATAAGTGTTTCTTCCTTGGCAAAAGTGTGGTTAAGATCAATTTCTGGTTCAGCGTTCCCCTCACTGTGGCCATCTATCCTGCTTAATACATTAGCAAATCACTGCTTCTTTCACCACCATGCTTTGTAGCCACATTTTCATCTCTTGAGAGAGAACATTGTCT